ATATGCTTTATTTTGATTTTGAGGTAGGATCTTATGTAGCCCAGCCTGGCCTTTAACTCACTATGTAGCCAAAGCTGGCTTTGAACTCCAGATCCTCTTGTCTCCACCTCCTGAGTGCTGAGATTACAGGTTGCAGCACCACACCTAGATTCAAAAGGTAATACGGTTTTACTAAGAGCACAGCTGCGGAAGTAAGTGATTACTCAATGAATTTGCCAAATTCTTGCCCCTGCAGACAGACATCATCTACATTAGCCATTGGGTGGACCTTTGCTAAGGTTCTGCACTCTGCAAGACCCTGACATTGCATGGGGTGCTACCCATTGCCATGTTAGCCCACATGAGGCTGAGAGCCCATCTCAAGCTATTGGCCCTTGCTTGTCCTGATGTGGCTTCAAATAAGTGGGGAAAGCCCGGGTCCCTCCCTCATCCCAGTGTAGAGACCTTCTCCCATATATGGGATATAATTGCAGTTCAAACCCTTCTGATTTATATTCATACCAGACACAGTGTGGTTGTAGCTAGGATATAAATAAACATTGTGTAACTTTGGTCTCAATGTGGACAGAGGCCTGTCTTGAAAATGGCTGCCAAAATGAGAGATTCCCTGGAAAACAGATATACTTACTCTATTAATTTCCTTTAAAAGGCAGAAACGTGGCAAATTTTCCCCCAATAACAAAAATAAAAAAACAAGCCACTGGGGAGAAAACCAGTATTAGACCCATTGCTGCTAGCTAATTATGCAGTGTAAGTTAGACAGCTTTCATTTATTTTTCTAAAAAGTAAAATTGTGCCTCAGGGAAAAATACCTCAGGGTGCTATTTCCAAACATCAATCGTTAAACTATTTTGGCATCAAGATTTCCTGTTAAATGCTATGAGTGGAAAGAGCTGACAAGTATTACGTCTACTCAATGGGTTCCTTTAATTCATACCAGGAAATTAAAAAAAAAAGCTTAGCCTGGAGTTCTGGAATGAATTTTAAAATTATTTAGAGTGGAAAGAGAAGAGAGTGACTCCACACACACAAAAAGGAAAGTTCAATATGAGGGTGAATCCAAGTGTCTAATGTGACAAAAAAGGCTATTGTTTAACTTCAAGCTTTAGCAGTTTTCCTTTGTCAGATCTGTGGGTCCCTTACCCTCAGTTTAAACCATCTATAGAATGGGTATCATGTTTACATCATGTAGAGTCAAAAACCCAGTCAAACTATCCTAAGTGGGTTCCATCTGTGCACACTCAATAGATTGCAGCTGCTATTACTATAAATGCCTATTAATATAGAAATTCTGGGCATACACCTTTCTTTAACCTTAGGATTTTAGAGACAGAGGCAGATGGAGCTCTGTGAGTTCAAGGCCCACCTGGTTTGTATAGAAAGTTTCAAGCTAGCCTGAGCTACATAGTGAGACCCTGCCTTACAAACAAAAAGTACTGAAAACAAATAAACATAACTTTGGAAACCTATTGACTATAGGACATACAAATGGCTGACCTGGTAGGAGGTTTCCCTTCTCTCTAAAGACCCTCTGTCTTTCTCTGCAGGAGGCTGCCCCTGGCTCCTCTGCATTTTCAGGGCCCTTCTACCCTGGCTTCAGTTGTTTTTAGCCAAAGGAAGATAGCAGCAGGAGAGAGGAGGTACCTAAAAACGAGAGTCCTGATTTCTCCGATTCTCCCATTGTTGCACCTTCACAGACTAGTTGTATCCTTCTACCAAAAGCCACAGAACGTCTCAGCTACTCCTGCAGCTGCAGCTGCTCCCTGGGGCCCCAGGGCATGCATTTCCTCTGCTCCTTTAAGACTGGGGGTGAAGTATCTCCCCACATCCTTCATGTGTTTTTCTTAGCCTTGCCAGGGCTGTTGCAAAGCAATTCCTTTATTAAGTTCTCCTCCATTACCACATTTGGGTCAACCATCTGGTCCCTGCCAGGATGCTGACTGATGCTATGAACTCTCACAGAGGCCACTGGGGTTCTTAGGATGGGAGTTGGAAGGGATGGGACAAGTCTGGGAAGGCTAATATGCTTGAGTGAGATTATCAGTGAGGGTCAAGGGAGAGTTCACAGTGAGCATGAATGCCCAAGAGAAATGAGCATGGACAAATGAGCACAGGCAAAAAGTGAGGGCTAGCCATCAGGAACTCTAAGCAGGAAAATGGCGGTGACAGCTATGAGAGGAGACTTAGGTGGTCAAAATAAAGAGGGTAAGAAGGAAAGAGAAGGCGGGCATAGTGGCTGGTGCATAGCCATAATCCTCCATGTATGGGAGTCAGAGACAGAATCATCTCCAGTTCAAGGAGTGCCTGGTCTACAAGATGAGTTCTGGGTTAATCGGGACTATATATTAAGACTAGGTCTAAAAGATCAAAAGAATTTTGGTATTTAAATCATATCTCAGAAGATGCCATGATTCATCTCATTTAGTTTGCTAACAGTGCTGAGATTAAGGACAACATACTACCATATGCCTAACAATATGTATTTCAAGCCCAAATGCCTTCCTCTACATTGTACTAAGAAGGTTGGCTTTAGCCCTCCTTCCAGCACTGAATGCTGTGGGCTTGCAGCTCTCAGATTGACTCCCTAAGGAGCTACAGCTGTAAAAGTCCCACCCGGAAGGGTCCTTTAGCCTGTACAAGCAGAAAGAAGCTTCTTGAGTGGAGGCCCCTGAAGGCCAATGGTTCGAATCAGTTCTGCTTTGCTGAGCCCTTTAAAAATCTGTATTTTTTGCTAGGTGGCAGTAGTGCACACCTTTAATCCCAGCACCCAGGAGGCAGAGGCAGGCAGAGTTCTGTGAGTTTGAGGCCAGCCTGGTCTACAGAGAGAGTTTCAGGGCAGCCAGGGCTGTTACACAGAGAAACCCTGTCTTGAAAAACAAACAAACAAAAAGTCTGCATTCTTCCTTTTGGACACCGTCCTTTGTCAATCATTTGTTCCTTAGCTCCCACACTCTGGCTTCTAGATCTAGCTTCCAAGATTGGCAAAGGCCCTTATATCTGACTTGCTAAATCTACCCATATCAGATGGGCAGGGGATTCAGAGAGGGGCATGGGAGGATGGGAGGGAGCGGGAACTGGGATTGATATATAAAATAAGATTTGTTTCTAAATTAAATTAAAAAAAAAAGATTTCAAAAACCAAATCCGCCCATATCTTACTTTGCTTCTTTCTTGAGCACAGGATGCCATGTTGCCCACTTCTATTTTTCACAACCTTCTTTCTCCTGGCTTCAACATCCCTTCGGGTCTGCTTGACCCTGGGAGTCCTTCCTCTTTAGTCTCCTTTGTGGGTCACTGCCCCCCACACACACACCCCAGGCTCCCCTATCACCTGGAACTCTGTCTTTGACCCTTTCCACTTACTACCCCGTGGCTCTCTTTGCTGGCTGGGGGCATCTCACCCACACCATAACTTCAACCATTCCACCAAACTGTCTGTTATGACCCAAAACACCGCTGAGGGTCAAATCCATTGCTCTAACTTCCTGCAGCTGTATCTCCTCACTTTGAAGGTCCTTAAAGGGACCTCAAACTTCCTAAGCTGTACTGCTTGCCACACCCTTTCTGAACTGGCTCCTCCACTGATTTCTGTCTTCGGTTATCTAAACCAGGACTCTATCACTTTCCACAGCTCCTTTTTTTCTTGATTTTTTTCCCCATTTAAGTCTGTCACCCCCTTCTCCATCCTCATTGCAGCATTGGTTCAGATCCTTATAACTTGCCCAATATTGTCAAGTTATTCTTAACAGTCCCTACCTACAGTCTCACCCCTTAGTGCCTGCTATGCCTTAGTTTCAAGCCCTTCCCTGTTGCTCCACCATCAAACTCAGGATGCAATCCAAGCCCTTTCAGGACTTGTCTGTCCTGATAGTCTTTGTGTGCATCCTGAGCCTGACCTGGTGAGTTAGGGGGACACACCGGTCCTCACACTAGTTGTGTGTGGCCTCTGTGCTGTTGCACTTGCTGTTTCTTTTTTGTCTGGAAGATTCTAGTTCCCGGTTCTGCCAAGCTCACTCTGTTCCTCTTGTAATACCCAAATGAACAGTCACTTTGAGAACCATCCAAAGTCCCCCCTTAATGGCAAAGGGTGAACTTCCACAAGACTGCAATGGCGTCAGCTGTCACACCCCACAAGCTGCATTCTGATGGTCTCTTCATCATTCTTCTAGTAGAATAAAAGATGCTTGCAAAGGAGGTGTTTCTCTGACTCCCTGGTGATTGGGACATTAAAAAAATTGCTGACAACTGTTTTCTGAATGACAGAGCAGTTAAATTAATATCATGAGTAAATGAATGACTGGATCAGCTAATTAATAATCACTAGATCCTTCCCTGGCTTTGGCCCATAGTGTGGGGTTTCTGCAGCACAGTTTGCCCTGAATTTGGCTAAAGCCTACATTAGGTCTTCTTGCTGTTCCCGGTGCTGACCCTGTGGCCTAAATCCTGTCTTCCACATATTTAGCCCATGTGTTTTGTCCAGTTTCAACCTTTGCCCCCTTGCTACGCCTCCATTTCCTATGATAACACAAATTAGTCATTTGATTGGCTGTGATAACAGGCAAGGGTGTGGAAGCGTGTTGAATGTTACGATCTGGAAGCCCTGCTTTGAGTTTCATTTCTGAGTGTTTTCACTCAGAAAGTCTTATATGTCAAGTTGCCAGATACCAGCTACTTTTGCAATTGAAATTTACCAGGGCCCAACCATTATGACAGGTTTGCCCTTTATAGTGGCTTTCATGGTCTCCTCTGGAATATTCCATGGTCTCAGGTTTATCACAGGGTGACTGGTGAGGTAAGTATAGCTTCCTTGAGAAAAAAGAAGGATAAATACATATGGAAACAGAATTCTAAACTGCACAGCTCCAGAAACTAAGGTGGTTCATTTCCCTCCCCACTTCCTTCTCCTATTGTTGTACAAACTATTCAGTACTGTGGAAACTTCTGCATTCACCCATTGGAATTCCCAAGTAAAGATTTAAAAACTGGATTAAGTTCATTACCAGTCTTGTGTCTTGCAAATGACAGAGAGAGTCCTGTTTTATTCTTCTGGAAAAGTCTTGTACCTGTCGTTGAAAAAAATGCAATATTTTATTCACAGCATGGCCTCTTCTGGTTGACCTTTGTTGTTTCTGTTGCTATTGACAAACTTTGAAGGTGTTTGGGGCTACTGAGATGTCTCAGTGCACAAAGAGACTTTCAGCTAAACCTGATGACCTGAGACCCACAGAGTGGAAGGGGAGAACCAACTCATGCAAGCTGTCCTCTGACTTTCATATGTGTGTGTGAATACACACACACACACACACACACACACACACACACACACACACACATGTGTTCTTAATAAGTTTTACCTTAGTCTTCAGTTGGTCGGTCTGTTCTTTCAGTTTCTGGCACATCTGTTTTCCTTGGGAGATCTTTTGAAATATGTAAGAATTTGGGGAAGGATCTTTCCAGTTTGTTGGGATCAACTTCAAGTGACATTTCTCAGATTCAACTCCTATGCAAAAAAGGCTAAGTTTGGCTACCATTCATTTCTACTTACCACAGTTTTGCTAAATATTACAAATAGGAGTCTGTAACAATCAACACATTTTTTAAGGTTTCAAAATGCTTCTATAAATAATAGTTTTAAGACGCTACCTGTGAGAGCTTCTTGTTTGGTGTGTGTGGCAGGCTCCATCTGCAAAATTAAAGAGTAAGAAGGCATTGATTTTGGAGACTAAGCAATGACACTGTTGTTCAGAATGCCTTGTGTCAGCCAGGCAGTGGTAGCACATGCCTTTGATCCTGGCACTTGGGAGGTAGGGGCAGGTGGATTTCTGTGAGTTCGAGACCAGGCTGGTCTACAAATTGAGTTCTAGAACAGCCAGGGCTGTTGCACACAGAACCTGGCCTATATAACAAGTTCTAGGATGTCCAGGATTGTTACACAGATAAACCCTGTCTCATAAAACCAAAATAAATAAATAGCTAAAAATAAACAAAAAATAAAAGAATGCCTTGTGTCCTGGTCATTGAGGAAGCAGCACAATGCTATGGTCCAAGCCGTGACACCATGTTGAGGTTGAATTTCACTGTGACACTGTAACACTGTGATTGGGTGACACAGGCAATTGTTCATTGCTATAAGCCTCAAATTTCTTGGTGGTAAAGTGGGGACAATAGAGGATGTACCTTATGGGGCTGTTATCAGGATTAACTGGGGTACACATTCAGTTGACATTGTGATTGTGTTCGACACTAGCTTGTAGAATATGCCAACATTTCTCTTAGACATAAAAGCTCCATGAGGGCAAGGACCATTGTCAAAATTGTCACAGCTCTGTTGCTGGTGCTCTTGTTAATACCAAACACAGTAGCCAGACTCTAGTAATAGTACAATATGCATTAAATGATAAACACATCAAGATGGTGCTGGTTCCTACTGCTGCAGGCTGGTAGGACAGGGGTTTAAACCTTGAGCAGTTCATCTTTAGGGTCTTGAGAAACATAAACATGCCAGAGAGATAAATGGCTGTTCAAAATTGACTCTGACCATTATGGATATATCCAGTAAAGAAAACTATTGGGTCCACTTCTCCAATTTAAGCTGATAGGGCTGGTGGGAAAAAAAATCAGAAGCTTGACATCAAGCTCATTGACAAACTCAAGCATTGCCAAGGAAAGATGAGTGGACATCTACTCTACTCCCATGAACCACAGGCCACTGAGAACTGGCCATGTATGAATGCTCTCTCTTGTAAAGAGAGAGGGACCCCAAGGCTTCCCAATATCACAAGAATGTAGACTTCTCTAAGACAGAAAACAGCCCAGTCAGGCCAAGTGGGCTGCTGGCTGCAGGTGTGTGTGTGTGTGTGTGTGTGTGTGTGTGTGTCTGTGTCTGTGTCTGTCTGTGTCTGTGTGTGTGTGTGGTGCCAAGTAGGGGTGGGTATCTGCCCAAATCTTTAGGGTGTTCAGCTGAGCTGGAAGGGTGTTATAAAGGAGAGTTATAGGGTGAGGCTGCCAGTGCTACTCCACCCAGAATTCCCTTTACACTGGCTTGCAAGGAAGACAATTCAGTAACAAAAAATTAAAATCTTTCCTGTGATTTTTTTTCTTTTTTTGGTTTTTTCGAGACAGAGTTTCTCTGTATTGCTTTGGAGGTTTGTCCTGGAACTCACTCGGTAGACCAGGCTGGCCTCGAACTCACAGAGATCCGCCTGCCTCTGCCTCTCGAGTGCTGGGATTAAAGGCGTGGGCCACCAACGCCAGGCTTTCCTGTGATTTTTTAAAAGATAAATTTACCTATTGAACTTTAAATAATCAATGAAATCCTGAACCTCATCAGGAAAGGAGGTTGGGTAGAGATGAGAAGACAAGATAAGGAGAAAGAGAAATAATATAGACTAGCCATTAACAAAACTTTAGACTAAAAGGGCACTAATATAATGTTTGAATTGTGGTGATAAAGAGCTTAGCTTTATTTCATTTAGCATTAATAACTGAGGGAATAATGTACATAGGACACAGGGCCAGGCCTCTCAGGGAGGCAGTAATAGAAAACTGAAGATAAGGTCCTTCCGAATTTGCAGATTTAATAGAAGAAACGGACACCTCCAGGCTATAATGAGCCAAAGCAGGCTGAGATGAGCTGAGAATAGACCTCCTATATAACCCTGCTGTACCACCCCTGGGAATTCACCCTAGAAACTCCAAGTCAGTGTCTCACAGAATACTTGCACACCGATGTTTATTGCTACATGGTTGTGGAACTATTCTAGGTATCCAGCAAGCGGAATGAATAAAGAAAACACGCCTCACATATAATAGACTTTTCAGCCATAAAGAAGGGTTAGTGATGCCATTTTCAGGAAGATGGATGTAACCTGAGATAATCATACTAAGCGAACTCAGTCTCGGAAAGACAAATCTTACCTCTTTTCCTTCACTTGTGTGCTCTAGATTTTATACAATCACATAAGATCATATAAGAACAAATGACAGGATGTAGCGGTAATGGGATCTAGGGGGAAGAAGGAAGGGGAAGGAATAGTGAGGAGAAAGGGAAGTTAGCGGGGTATTGTGGGGGTGGGCATGCTAAAAATGCATTATATATTTGCATGACTGTGGCCTTATGGAACCCCATTTTCTGCACTTACTTGTATAAATGATGACGATGAAGAAGAAGCAAGCGAAAGCTTCGAGTTGGTAGATCTGAGGGGTAATGTGGCCTGAGGGAGATTTGACGGCAGCTGTATAAATGAATACTCTTTGGCAAATCAGGTTAGGCCATTCTAAGACATGTGTGGTGGTGCACTCCTGTAATCCCAATATTGGGGGGTGGAGGCAGGAAGATCAGAGGTTCAAGGCCAGCCTCTGCTACATGAGACACTGTTTGTGGGGGGGGGCAGGAAGGCAACAAGCAAATCAGGGACATTCCCTGTAAAGAAGGAATTTGGGGCCCAATTTTCTCTTGGGGCCTGAGGAGAACCAGCTCTTGAAGATGACTCTCAGGGAAGAGCTGAGTTTAGAAGTCAAGATGAGGGGTGGAGAGATGGTTCAGTGGTTAGAGCACTGGATGCTCTTCCAGAGGACCAGGGTTCAATTCCCAGCACCCACTTCATGTCTGGCAACCATCTGCACCTCTAGTTCCAGAGGATCCGTGCAGTCTGCAGGCACTAGACACACATGTGGTGCCATGCATACGTGCAGCAACACCTATACACATAACATAATAAAATTTAACATTAAAAAAAGAACAGATAGCATTATGAGGAAAATTAGTGAAGAAAATAGGGGAGGAACTAAAAAGTGGATTTTATTATATGTATGTATGCAGCTTTCAAACAATGTTTTTTTTTTAATTTAGATGAATTTAAGAAATATATTGGAGGCTGGTGACACGTACCTTTATTCCCAGCAATCTAGAGGCAAAGGCAAAAGGATCTCTGTAAGTTCAAAGCCAGTCTGGTCTACATTTTGAGTTCCAAGTCAGCCAGGACCATAGAGGTACTTTGTCTCAAGAAAAAAAAAAAAGAAAGAAAGAAAAACTTACAACAAAGAAAAAAAAAGAAAGATGTATATTGGAAAAGCTTTGAGGAATTTGGATTTTATCTTCCTTTCTATTTTTCTGAATCTGGCTTCTGATTCTTTTCATGAGGTCACCACTGAGATTCTGAGAGGCCTGTTCACTTGTCCAGGATAACCGAGAGGCCTAACAAAACCTCAGAACTGCAACTAAGCTCTGTGTACAAGCCCACCCTAGGATGACCACCCTGGGTGACCAACCTAGGATGACCACCCTGGATGACCACCCTGGGATGACCACCCTGGATGACCAGCCTAGGTCAGTATAGATAGGGACCACTCTCATTTACCTGGGTTTGTTGTGAAAGTTCAGTAAATTTTCTTTTTTGCTCTGGTTGTGGCTTTTGAGCACAATTTGGCCCAGACATGGTTCCTAAATTGTCTTGCACAACTGTTGATATATTTCTCAACCTAGGAGAACAGCTGGCTTGGTTAGCTATTGTAAAAAGTTTATTAGTTATGGCATTTCTAGGGATTTTCACTTTGGGAGCAACCTTAAAAAAGTCTGGAAGCTGGTAGTGCACTTGATCTTGGCCATATTTGAGCCTGGTGCCTGAACTTGCTTTTTCAGTCAGCTGTCTCTGGGGTGTCTGCCCTTGGCAGTTCTTTTGTTTATCACCTGGATCTTTAGATCTACTTAGAAAGCTTGGATTTTCTTCATGACTTCCCTGCCCAGCCGTCACTGATTTTTCTGAGAGAGAGTTACTTTCTTCTGCTGTGCCTAGAAAGAAACCAGGCTTACTGCTGTTTTCTGCACCACTTTTGGGACTGGGTTGGTGAGTGAATGCCGGGGTTTGTTCTTTGGGGCAAGAATTCTTTGCGTAACATGAAATGATGTTTGTAAGAACAGTTGTGTCACTGAGACTGTTAGCATTCAAGGTCTCTGGGAGAGTTTCATAGGCAATGCCGCCTTGCCTCCTCAAGAAGTGCTCCCTGGAGAGGTGATGGAGTAAAATATCCAAAATGTGTGACTTTGAGGCATCTCCTTTATTAGTTGTAACACAAGAAGCCAAGGCACGCTGTTTATCTTTATCACACCTGTCATTGACAGCACTTTCAGTGATCTTATCGGAGGTCATAACTACAGCTTCATTCTGGGACATCTTATATCGTGCAGCCTTTTCCTGGGACTCTTCTCCTGGCAGAACAACTTCTTCTGAGACAGTTAGGGTGTCGTTTATTGAGGTAAAGTTGTAAGAACTGCACATCTTCATCTGAGAAAAGACCCCATCATAAGGCAAGTCCTCTTGTTGTTCATAGGTTGTGTCTTCCGAAAAGTCAGTTTCATCCATGATGCTGTGGGCTGATGTCTGTGGTCCTCCGCTGCCTGGCCTTGGTGTTCTTAATGGTCACAATATGTAGTCTGGTTTTCATTGAATGTCCAAGCTGTGTGTTCTATGCTGTCAGAAGAGAAAGCAGCTTCATTAGTAAATATAGAAGGATAATGTGTGAAACTATGCTTACTCTGGTTTCTATGCCGGAACAGAAACAGATGTTTTTCATTCAGAGAAATTCAATTACAAATCTGAAAGCAGAAATCTCAGCCAAAGGATAACTCACCCTAAATGCTATTGAGAAAAAGAATGATGAGAGGATTATAATTTGTTTCCTTTAAATTTTGAGGAGGTGTGATCTGTACTTAATGACATATCTTTATCTCTCTCCCTCTCTCTCCCTCCCTCTCTCTCTCTCTCTCTCTCTCTCTCTCTCTCTCTCCCTCGGTACTGTTGCAATTTGTTCTCATCACTTCTCAGCCTTTTGGTGAAGATCAAATGTGGATTTGTTCTGTCAGAGTGAGAGTTTGAAACACAGGTAAAAGGTCGTTTGATGTATGCTGCCCATTACTTGTCTACACATTCCTTATGTCTCCGAGTCATGGGATGCTGGGAGTTGACTCAGCTCTCACACACAGCCACTCAAGTTCTCCATTCTGTTGCCTTTTGTAAAGTGGTATTTTATTTTCTAATTGACACAATAACTACAGATATTTGTGGCACACAATGTGATGTTTTGATATGAAGTAGTAGCACTTAAAAAAAATGGGGTCTCACGGTTTAGCTCTGACTGACCTGGGACTCACTATATTAACCAGGTTGACCTCGGATTCAGAGATTTGCCTGCCTCTGCCTCCCAAGTGGTAGGATTAAAGGCATGCATCACCACACTGGGCCTAAGAGTAACTTATTTATCACCTTGTAAATATATCATTTTTGTAGTGAAATATTAAAACTCTTCTCTATTTTGAAATATTTTTCATTGTTAAATACCTCATTGTACAATAGATCAGGACTTATTCTTCCTAGACTAACTTTATAGCCATCGATCAGGCCCTCTCTACACTCTGCTGCTAACTATTGTTTTGCTCTCTGCTTCTATGGGAACAGCTTTTTAATTTTCGTGCACATGTGCATGTGTTGTGTATATGTATATATGTGTGTGTTGTATAGATGTGCGTTCTGTGTGTCGTGTTTGTTGTGTGTGTACCTGTATATGTGTGTGTTGTGTGTATATGTTGTATACAAGTGTTGCTTTTTTTGTGTGTATGTTTACGTGCGTTGTATGTATATGTGTGTTATGAGTGTTGTGTATGTTGTGTGTATATGTGCGCTGACTGAATGAGTATATGTTTGTGTAGGGGTATGTTTGCACATGTGTAAATGAGGTAGAGGCCAGCAGCCAACATTAGCTGTCTTCCTTAACCACTTTCCATCTTGTTTTTTGAGACAGGGTCTCTGCTTGAGCCTGGTGCTTACAATTTGACTAGGCAGGCTGTCGATCAGCCCCCAGGATCCTCCTGTGCTGTCTGCCTCCTCAGCACTGGCACTGTAGCACACCGAAGCATGTCTGGCCTCTTACAATGGTGTTGGGGGTCAAATTCAAGTTCTCACAAAATGCAGCAAGAACTTTACAGACTGAGCCATCTCCCTGCCTCTGATTAGCTTTTCTGGATTCTGCATCCAAACGAGATCAAGTACTTGTCTTTCTGTGCCTGTCTTCCTTCGCCTCACATGTCTTGGTGCTCTTCCCCCTGTTCTGTCTTCCAATGGTTTCCTCTTGCTGTGTCTTAGAAGAGCATAGAACAGTGGTTCTTAAACTGTGGGTCTCGACACCTTTGGGGGTCTCATATCAGATATCCTGTGTATCAGATATTTATATTAAGATTCATAACAGTTGCAAAACTATGGTTATGAAGTAGCAATGAAAATAATGTTATTGTTGGGGGTCACCACAACATGAGGCACTGTATTAAAGGGTTGCAGCATTAGGAACGTTGAGAACCACTGGCATAGAAGGATTGACAGAAATATGCCCAGGTAAGGTCTTTTGAACCCCTGGAAGACAGGCAACAATCAAACATCCCTCTTCTACTAGGACCCAGGCAGGAGGCTTGCCAGTGAGGCTTTGCCTCAGCAAGTTCCTAGCAGCTGCCACAACCCAGAGGGCAGGGTGGTGGCTGCCAAGTGTCTTAGGGATATTTCTGAAAAATGGTCAGGGCACAGCTGGCTGCCACTGGGTACAAATCCCTTTTGCTAAAGAAAATCTGCAACATCCATTTAGAAGACAGCTCCCCTTGATTGGTGAACAATACCTTAGAAGTAGTAAAACCACCTCAGTTTTTAGGGGGCTCTTGCTCCCCAAGAGCACCAGTCAGATCCGGAGCTCTACTGATTCAGGGTAACCATAACCACTGGCTGGCCCCACCCATCTGATGATGGGGTTAGGTGAATAGATCTTTGAGGTCCTTCCACATCCAGATTTTTATGTCCAAGAACTTGTGATTTATTAGTTAACCTCAAAGGCTGCAATAACATGTTTGGCAAAGAAAAACATTGAGCTAAGTTCCCCCCAAAAGAGGAGCACAAATTTAAGGCATCTGAGAAACATCAAAAATCACAGTTTGTAGCTGCATGCCAGTGTTACAGAGCCCAGATTTTAAAAAGTGCAAACTGCTTTGTGGAGGGGAGGAAGAGAAAATGGCCACAGGATTACTTGGTCATTTATGCAGAGATGGGAGCTTGCTGCAGAGTAGGGAAGGCACATCTATGTAAGCAGAATTCTGGGTTACTCCAGCCCAAGTTGAAGGCAGGAGGAAATGTTTCCCAGTAGAGATGAAGACACAAAGAGAAAGCTGGAATCGGCCCTGGATTTGGTTCTCCACTCATTAGCTGTCTGGCATCTGGAGGTGTTTAGTTTTTCTCCTCCCCTTCCTCTGTGTCCTATGATAAAAACTATATCCAGCTGGTCTCAAACTCCTGGGTTTAACTGGTCCTTCTGCTTCAGCCTGGGTCCACAGGCATGTGTCTCTGTGCTTGATTTTTATTTAAGTTTTCCTAAGTCTGTTTTTCTTCTGGAAAAAAATAGAAATGGGAGTGTCTAGTTCATAGGACTTCTAGATGATGGCATGACACAAGGTGTGAGAGGTGTGTAGCACAGAGAGTGCAGCAAGCACACGTTTAAAAATAAAAATAAAACATTGATTCAGGGTGTGGTGGCGCGAGCCTTTAATCCCAGCACTCAGACAGAGGCAGGTGGATCTGGGTAAGTTCAAGAGCAGACTGGTCTAAATAGTGAGTTCCAGGACAGCCAGAGAAACATGGAGACCTTGCAGACAGACAGACAGACAGACAGACAGACAGACAGACAGACGGGTGGGTGGGTGGGTGGGTGGGAAGTTGGATTGATAGATAATAGAGATAGATAGATAGATAGGTAGATAGATAGATAGATAGATAGACAGACAGACAGACAGACAGACAGACAGATAGATAGATAGATAGATAGATAGATAGATAGATAGATAGGTAGGTAGGTAGGTAGATAGATAGAAAAACAAGGAAGATAAAGGGCTAACGAGATGGCTCAGTGGATAAAGATGCTTGCCACCAAGCCCCATGTTCAAACCCTGGGAACCACATGGAGGAGGATAAAACCAACTCTTGAAATTTGTCCTCTGACCTCCATATACATGATGTAGCACAACACAGCCACAGTCACACAGATCTCTCTCTCTCTCTCTCTCTCACACACACACACACACACACACACACATTGTTTAAAGCAAAAAGGATTGGAATGTAAAAATAAATTAATAAAAAAACAAAAGAGGAAAAAAAGCAAAAAGGGAAACACCTCACAAAGATGAGCCAGAAGCCCAAGGAATTCCCTCATTACACACAGAAAAACCAGCTTCAGAACTACTGTTGTTTCCCTGTATGCACATTCAGCATCTCACAAGGCCTTTTCCTAGAAAAAGACACCCTGCATTCTTTGCTTTAGCATCATAAGCCCCTTACAGATGGCTGGAAAAAACTGGAACATCTTCATTATACCACCCAGCTCAATCTTGGAATCTGAAGGTGTCTTCTGAGAGATTCTAATCAGAACCCAAGAGAACTCTCGGTGCCACAACTGTCCCCACAGGTGACAGAGCATTGTGAGCTCAGCAGCAGTTCATAGTCACTGTGCCCCAGCCCGTGAGAACACCTCAGTCCAGTCCTTAGCAGAGTTGTGCAAGTGCCTTCCACGCTGACAGCTCTTCCCAGTATGGTTTACAACATTGTAAAATCTGAACTGGATGCCTAAGTGCTGGCCTAAGCACACTAACTTGCCTGTAGAAGAGAAGACGGCTAGATTACCTTGTTTCTGAAGAATCAAACATATCTTCAATTTGGGGACAGGGGACCACTTAGTGTAGAAGCAAAGGTTGGTCAGCTGACCCTTGTTTCCAGCTGGTAGGTAGTATTTCATCTGCTTACTAGGTAGGTTTAATAATAACACAAATTCAGATCACTGAGGTCATGGGTTGGGTTTGTTGTTGTTTTTGTTTGTTTTGTACTGTAGTACATGAGGATTGAACCAAGGGCCTCGTGCATGTAAGACAAGTACCCTACCACTGAGCTATATGCCCAGCCTTCATAGCTGAGGATAAATGTGAACTAGGGTAAAACATCATGGCCAAAGGCACCTTGGGGGAAGAGAGGGTTTATTTCATATCACAGCTCTCGTGTCACAAGAACCTGGAGGCAGGAACTGAAGCAGAGGCCATGGAGGAACACTGGTTACTGTCTTGCTCCTCATGGCTTGTTCAGCCTACCTTTTTTTTTTGTATTTAAACCAGGACCACCATAATCCTCCCCAAACACGGTCTAACAGCAACACTCCACTCCTGGTACTAATTTCTGTCTTAAGAGTTTCTATTGCTATGATAAAACACCATGACCAAAAACAACTCGGGGAAGAAAGGGTTTATTTTATATTACAACTCCCAAGTCACCCCCCACCGTTGGGGGAA